TGCATCTCTTCATAATGTCTCTCTCTTTGTCGCTCCTCTTCTTGACGACGTTCTTCAGCTTGTTTCTGGGCCTCCTCTCTTCGTCGCTCCTCTTCTCGACGACGTTCTTCAGCTCGCTCCTCTCGCCGTCGCTCCTCTTCTCGACGACGTTCTTCAGCTTGCTCCTCTCGCCATCGCTCCTCTTCTCGACGACGTTCTTCAGCTTGTCTCTGGGCCTCCTCCTGAAGCTTTGCTAAACTTGCCAAAGCTGCCGCTAATTGCTCCATCGGATCACTAACTCCTGTAATAAGACTTTCTTCCACTTCAGTACAGTCTTCCGTATCAACTGAAGTATAACTCTCTCTGAAAATATGTAATCCTCGCAACTGTCCTCTGTAGTCGTGTCTTGGTAAGTCCCGTAGAGAATACCGCCCTTGATTCTCTCGACTGTTATCCGACATAAACAGTCACACCAGACACTATAAACTTTAGTCTCTCTCTCTTGCAGAGATACAATAGTGGGTCTTTCCTCTACAACCGTTTGAGAACTATCCCACCGCTGCCACCAAAAAATGTAACAGACGCTCCAACTATCTGTTAACCAAACTTTATTCTTAATCAACACTAAACTCACAACTAAAACACAACTAACACAACACACTTATATAGATATTATAAATGTCCAGAAGGTTCTATAACATACAAGAATACTTTACATGATTGTTCTAGAATACACTTGAATAAACACATAATATATAATTACAATAGTACACAGAGAGTTCCGGGTCCATCTAGAAACAACTTCTTACAGAGATGGAGTCTTTGAGGAATCTATATTTGATGACCTTGGTCTTCCTTTTGTAAAGTCACTCTTCACTCCGCGTGATTTCCTCCTCTTGTTGCAGTATCTCTTTGTTGTTTCACCAATCAAAGGCTCTGATTCTACCGTTCAACGGTTCTTTATGCCCATAGTGTTACCTCCTGAAAGAATGAGTGAAGAAAAGAAGAAGGTCTTCACTGGAAAGTGTGACCCACTGGTCATTACATTCAACAGTAAACTCGTACTACAGGTAATACACTGACAGTGTGTTTGTATTGTATTACTGTCTCTTTCTCTACAGGGTCTGTTTCCTACATTAATTGTCTCTTTATTGAGTCGGAAGGAAAAACCTCATTTTTTTATTGATAGTCGTTCAAGAAATTTTCCACAGCAGCTTCGATATGCTGTCAAGCTTTATTCAGAGGATCTGTTTGGATCAATATTCCTGTGTGATAATCTCAAATCAATTGAGATTATTTTCACTGGTCTTACTAGACACTGTTATACTCTTCGTCAGGTGATTCTAGAGTGTCTAT